AATTTGAATTTAAAAAAAAAATAATTAATATTTGCAGTATGTCTCTCACTGAAAAAGAGTTTGATTATATAAAAAAAAAAAAAAAAAATTAGAAGAAAAGTTTTGACAATGCGATATTAATGAAAATTTGACAAGTGCGTCACTCATTCAGGGGGAATAACTCTAACATGATTTTTTATTTATTTATTTATTTATTTTTGTTTTGTCGGAGATGATTTTAATACATTTTTTGAAATCATAAAAAATATGCTGCAAGTCACAGATTGTAATAAGCTTTCTAATTTATGATCTATAAAAATAGATCTTTTTAATGAGCGTAAAAAATGAGGTACAACTGTTCTACTTTATTTTTGAAACATTTATCAATATTATCACTTTTTTATTTAGATGTAAAAAAAAAAAAAAAGTAAACAGTTCTCGTAAAAATTTATTTTTCTACCGAAAAGGATTTTGACTTCAGGAAAAAAAAAAGTCCTTAATATATATTGTTTATAAAATACATTAAAAGCTGTTTTCATTAAAAAAATGTCTTAGTTTTCTTGCATTTTTGTATTGCGAGTCAAAATTGTACACGAAATTTATGATTTATATTCCTCAAAGTCTCCTTTATTTAATTAAAAAATAAAATTAGGGACAACTATCCTAGTTTTAAAGTTTTCATAAAATTAAGTATGGTGGGTATCAGACGTAAAAAAAAAAAAAAAATTTTTACTATGAGTTTCTAAAAGACAAACATTTCTAAAATAAATTCAGTCATTTCAGAATAAGTTCTGAAAGTTTCACTAAATTGTGACAATCATTTGATTTTTGCAATAATTTCCAAATTTATGTGTTTTTTTTTTTTTAAGTGAAAAAAAAGCTAAAGCAAAATATTAGGTGATCTTTGACCTAAAAAAAGAAAGATTTTCAACCACAAATTCAAACGTGCTATAAAGGAATAAAAAATTTCGAAAAATAATTAAAAAATACTTTGGTCTCTACTCTTATTAATAGCATAAAGTTTTTTGTGATAAAACACTGTTTTTATTAAGTTTGGGACCTTTTTTCATCAGGATATGCCACTTTTTTAGCGAAAAATTGGGCATCCCTACTTTTATGTATACATTAAAGCAACGGAAATGATATTGTTTCTATACTTATCAATAATTTTTTTTATGTTCCATTTAAATTATTTCTGTCCATCATTCTATTTCTTGAATTTCATTTTTATTCTTTATTCTACCCAACTATCTTTCTTGTCTGTCTTCTCTTCTGCAGCCAGCCTGACCCAACAGGTTAGTCTTTATACACATATCAACATTTCATATTATTAGTAGTATTAGTTGTAGTATTATTATATATTTATTCATATCCACTGCCTATTTGTCTTTGCTTATATTTGTGTTTATTCACTTCTGTAATAAACCTTTGTTTTTGCAAACAAAAATATATTCTGTGTGTGTTTGTATGTGTTAACTATAGATATGAAGTACATTTAGACAGGAAGAATTTTTTTTAAACAAGTTTTATAAAATTCATCTGACAAGGACTGCCTGTTCAATCTTTTCTTTTATATTTTTCTAATTTTTGAATAAGTTGTTGCAAATTGCGGATAAACAGTCCAAAGTTAATGTCTTTGTTCTCTTCAAGTACTTCCGAACGTCTCGGTCACTTTCACTATAGTAGGCAAGATTTTGTTGGCTATATCCTAGCATGGCCCCGACACTTATGCAATACATGATGTATATTTGAATTTCAAATGCAGGGTTCCAAAAAATATCATCCAACATTGAGCATTTATGGATTGTAGTAGAAAGATCTATTTGCACCCAAGAGCCTACATCCTACAGATATTGGAGTGTTTTGGACAAGATGGCTTCCAACCACATGTTAAATTGCTGCACTTTGCTTGGCTAGCAGGAGTCCTACACAATATTAGGCACCTATCCTATGATATTTTTGCACTGTGTGTGTGTGTGTGTGTGATCATTTTTCCTTTTATTTATGATATTGTTGAGTAAATAGTTAATATTACATAAAAAAAAAAAAAATTCTTTTCTTGCTTTAAAGCAAGAAAAGAATATTTTTTTTGTATGCTTTCAAATGAATCCATTAAATATGGCTGATACTTAATTTCTAATCAGAATTGTTGTAGTATGTCAGGATTTTGCATTATACATATCTCCAAAACTTGATTTACTAGAACAATTCCTAGTACAGATTTGAAATCAATGTACTTAATTTATTCTATTTTACCATAATTTGTTTGGTTAGCCAAAAGTTGTTGTTGTTGCCCAGTATAACATACAGGATATCCTTGACTTACAAACAAATTCTGTTCCTATGATGTGTCACAATGAGATTTTCTGTGTAAGTTGGAACATATCCATAATTTCACTTTCATGGTGTTGGCTTTCCTTTTCTTCAAAGTACTGCCAACAGAAGAGATCAAACTATGCATTGAAAAGCAATAAGTTTTCACAAACACAACACAGACAAAAGACTGAATGCACAACAATCCAATATAGCATACAACCTGGAAACAAGATTAATTGAGGTTGTGTCATAACCACAAATCATTGTAGGTCAGGACAGTTGTAGCCCAAGGACTTATTGTAGATTGAAGGATAAACAACTGTTTTTATGTTATACAATGGATATATTATTTTATGACAAAATTCCTCCTCTTAAAATCACCAAAGATAAAGAAAGCCTATGAAAATAATATGGCTATTATATGGAGAGAGAGAGAATAAAACAAGAAATTAAGATTAAAAAGAAAAAAAAAAATCTTGATATGTTGTGTGTATGTCATTTCTCACATATCCTTCTAATTTCTCATTCGAAATGTTTTCTGTTTTTAGCAAAATGTGTTTGCGTTTAGGATGTGATATTTCTCTTTTTCCCATGAAAATAAATAACAAAACCTGTCAACATTTAGAACTTGGATATATTTTCAGTAATTTTTTTTTATTGATAAATTGCTTTTGTCACTTCAATCATTTTAATTTATTTTTTTATTTTTTTTTTTTTTCTTTCAACCGTTAATTGACAAATATAGCGACTCATATCTGTTATATAAAAGTGTGTGTGTTTGTACAGAATTCTCTTGTTTGGAACTTGCTTTTTTGTGATACTCTTTGTATGATTTGTACCAGGACATATCACCTGACATTACTGGAGGCAAGGGGTAATATACAAACTTTTTGACTGCTTCTTGCTCCTTAAAAAAAAACAAAAAAAACACTAAGGTTCTTGATTAGTTTTGTTTCAAATGTAAATCTATCATGAAATCAGCCCAGTCATCTTTGAAAATTATTTTAATATGGCTGATTTGTTCTAATTCAATTTTTTTAATGTTAACTTTCCTGTGTTCTTTGTTTTCCAAGTCACTAAGATTTTATGTTCAAATAAGATTCACTTCTTTGCCAAGATTTTTTTTTCAAATGGCTGTTTTAGTAGTACTTGTGTGTGTGTGTGTGTGTATATATATATATATATATATATATATATATATATATATATATATATATAAAGTGAACATAGAAGTCAACACTTAGAGGCGACAGTCTGTTTCAATCAACATTTGTGGGCAGATCAGAATCCCCATGGTATAATATAGGCTAAACACCAGCATCAGTTTATGATTAATGTGTGGGCTGGAATTGTAGGTGACTGTCTGGTAGGTCCATACGTTCTCCCAGAACAGTCTAGGGACTTTATTTTGAACACAGTTCCAGACCTGCTAGAAGATGTACCCCTGCTAATATGAAGAAGCATGTACTTCATGCATGATGGGGCTCCAGCACATTTTAGTCACATTGTTCAGGATGCACTGGCTGACATCTACCATGAAAGATGAATAAGATGGGGAGACCCAGTTCCATGGCCTGTACGCTTCCCCCAACCTCAAGCCTTTGGATTTATGGGACCACCGAAAACAATTGGTTTATGCAGCAGACATTAATCATGCAGAGATGCATCATCAACATGTTATGAAGGACTGCAAAACCATTCAACACTGTGTGGGAGTATTTGAAAGGGTCCACCAATCAATGATCCGATGGGTGCATGCGTGCGTAGAAGCAAGCGGAGGACACTTTGAACATTTGTTATGATTTGCTGTGTTGAGTTACGACGACAGCTTTTTGTCCATTTCTTTATATGGACATTTTACCTCGTTTTAGTATCAGGAACCAGCCCCCAAAATTTGTAAAAGTATTTTGGATTGTATCTTGGATTGTACATTTAACAACAGCTACCATAAATTTTAAACTTAATAACTGAAAAAGGTGGGATTTGCAGACATATGTTTATATGAATCCAACCTCAAAATATGTAAAAGTATTTTTGATACACCCTGTATACATATATTATATTTAGTGGGTACATGTGTTTGAGTAGACATCACTTTTTTTTTTAAAACAGTAAAATTAACATCTGTCTACAGATTAAGTCCTAATAAACAAAAATTGCTCCTTAAAAGAAATCAAACCTTTTATTTCTTTTTAATCTGTGAAACTACATTCAAGCCAGGTATACCTTACCCACGTAGCTATTAGATTCCCATATTTCTTTGACTCCTTTTAAAGTCTTTATCTGTTAACTGTGTTTTTGTGTCTGAAATGAGGTGTAGCCATTCGTCCACTTTCATACCCAAATACATTTATAGTAGTAATGATGTCAGATTAAAGAGAAAAAGAAGGATCAATTTTTTTTTTTAAGTCATTTCACCCCAAGCAAGGCAGTAATACCACTAAGATACAAGGGATTGTGTGTGTGCTTATTTGTTAAATTGATTTCTGTAGTATTTTCATCATGATTTTATTGAGTTTTTGGCTATTCATAATTAAAGTGCCACTATTTTCATAAATTATGACCTCAGCCATGTTTTAACCTTGAAATCATTGCATGAAATAAAATAACTCATCAATTAATTTCATGAAGCCAGAACTTTTTTTTTTTTTTACTAAAATATTTTTTATTTTGAATTTGTTTTTGTTTTCTTTTTTTTTCTACAGACGATTATGTGCTGGTACAACCTGAAAATTCAGAAACAATGCGACGGATTGGAGCAAAAGGTTGTCCCTGTATTTTGCACATTTCTCCCTGGGGTGTGACGTTAGCTCTCCAAGTGAGTTATATTTTGTCATTGATACTTTTTCAGGTCAGTCAAAAAAAAAAAAAATCTGAGTGAAAAAAATTGATTTCATTGATAATCATCAGGAAAATAAAGCATAAAATTTTCAAGTTCCCTAAACTTTTGTGTATTACCTAGAGTGTATGTATAAGATTTTTATCATACACACACACCTACATGATGAAAAAATGCATCAAATTTAATAAATACAGTTTTATCATCAAAATCTTTATTAGTAATAGAAAGACCAAATGTTTTTTGATAAATTATATTTTTTGTTCCATTTTAGAACCTTTGAAATTTTGGTTAAAAAAATTGTTTTTCTTACATAAATTAGTACAGGAAATTTTAGTGTCTTTTTGAGATAAAAAAAAAACACATTAATTTGGAAATTCTTGCAAAAATCAAAAAATGGTCGGATTTTAATGAAACTCTTAGAATTTGTTCACGAAGGAATGAAATTATTTTAGAAACAATTTTTATTTTTAAATATTTTGTTAAAAAGTTTTTGTTTTTTTACATCTGTTAAGCCACACACAAAACCACTTATTTAATTTTATGAAATTTCAAGAAATTAATTTTTGTACAGCTTAATGTTTATATTAGTTATAAGCAGAACTCTTTGAATTTTAAATCATCAATTTTTTTTTCTTCTTTGTACAAACAGGACTTCTAGTTACTGAAAATCTGCTGAATCATAAATGACATTGTTATGGTGTTTCTGTTTTTATTACTGTTTAGTAATTTATACATAAAAATGTTCAATTAAGAAATGAAATGAAATATTTGATAATTTCGTTTTATATAATATATTTTCTAACAGCAAAGAATAAAAATGTGTCTAAGAAATGTACTTTTTGACTGTTGGATTATTGAACAAAAAAATTTGACAGCTTTTTATTTATATTTTATTATTCAATCATGTTAATTTTCATATAATTTTCCATATTTTGATAAAAGTTTATACAAATGAATTTGCAATATTTAACAAACATGAACAAATGTGAAAAATTTCTTTTCATTATTTAGCTCCCTTTAGTCATTGTCAAATAAAAGGTTGATTAATTTGTTTGTTAAATCCTATTAACAGCCTTTTCTTTTAACAAACTTCATTTTAAAAGCTTTTCTTATTTGTTTATATTGTAACAGCTATCATAATTTCTTAAATTCTCTATTGATGAAAAGCATCTGGGATTAATTAAAAGAAAAGTTATAATGGTGGGGGATGGGGTGCAATTCTCTGAAAGACTTCAAAAGTCACTTAAATCAATTTGATGGCCTAAAATAGTGGCCCAAAACAGTATGTTCTTCAGTAAAGTTAATATTGAAAAAAATTTTTTTGTTTAATAAACAAAAGTTTTGTCCAACTTAGCATTTACCCAAACGTCATAGATGCACTATTGTTTTTTTTTATCATTTTAGTTATGTATAATATACAAGGAAAAAAAATTACAAAACCATGACAAAACTAAATAGATACCTACTTTCTAACAAGTCTTTATTCAATCATCTAAACATTATTAAAATTTGTTAGACTTGGCATTAACAATATATAAATTGTCATTCATTATGAAATATTTGATCTGCTTACATTCTTTTGATGAATACCCAACTAAAAAATTTTAGGATAACTTCTTTATTCTAGATCCTAAATTTTCCTGATGTATTCAATGGGATTCATTTTAGGAGATTCATTTGGTTATAGTCGTTTTAATACCATTTTGGATCTATGTTTGTTTTTTTGTTTTTTTTTAATAACCTTTTGCTGTATTTGTCCAAATAACTCTGTGAATTCTTTTAATTGCTTTCATTTTTATTTTGTAGTCTTCTCGTCGTATATTAGCCCAGTGGCCATTAAAGAGCATCCGTTGCTATGAAAGTTCTTGCCAGGGACAGTTTTCCTTGGAGGCAGGACGTATTGCACCAATGGGTGATGGCTTGTACCTTTTCAATACACAGCTAGGAAAAGATGACCAACTCTATGACTTGTTAGACCACCATGTTGTTAATGCCTTGCAAAAAATACGAGTAAGTATTAGCTTGTTCAGAAAGTAATTATTAACAATGACAATTGCTATGAAAATAAATTTGTCTATTCTTTCTGGGATTACAGATTAAAATCTATGTTAACATCTAAACCATAAGGTTTTGGTGAGCAGTCAGTAGAATATGGTGGTTTTTGTCTATTAAAAGTTCTTAGAATAAGGTAAATTTTTCTTGGTGAAAAATGAGGGAAGGCAGTCTAATTGAGTCAAGAGAAAGGTCATTTTTAAGACTGACAGGTCAAACCAAAGCTGAATAAAATAAACTCAGTAGATAAAAATGTTAGTTTAGAAGGATCTAACTTATTCTTCTACTTCAAGATTGGATTTCAATATTTGTTCAAATTACTGGAAATTATATACAGTTTTAAGGTATATTTATGTGTAAAAGTGCTCAATATTAGAATTAGAGCATACGTGAATATAAAAGTGGATGCTGAAATCAGCACCAAGCAATGACTGCATTCAAGTATGAAGAAACAGACAATCTTCAGGACTGAAAACACTGTCACTGCTTTATTTTTGACCTCTGTATCTATCTATCTATATATATAATCATTGAATACAATCTTAAATATCTCTTGTTTTTGCAGTCATTGAGCACTTTTTCATAGCATGATTATATAATGCCATATATATATATATATATATATATATATAATCACTTAAATGTTAGTGGATACTCAAATTTGAATAGATAAATATGGGTCTCCATTAAAAATAACGTTTAAGTGATAAAATCTGTTTTGGATTAATAAATAAAAGAAAATCCATTACTTCTTTTTTATACACAAAAAAAAAACCTACAGACAAAAAGTTTGGAATCACCATGCTTTTCTTTTAAAAAAAATGGGATTACTACAGTGTATTTGCTTTTATTTTTCAATCTTTCTCCAGGCTCCTCTTGCTATCAAAAAGTTCAAATTTAAATTCATCTATCAACAATATTTGCTAAATTATGAATATTTCGTATCAGAAAAATTACATCTTGTTTTCATTGTTAAGTCCTCAATTGATTTTTGATATTACCAAAATTTTCTCATTGTGCTGTTATTCTAAACTCTCAGAAATTTTATTACTGTTAATTTTGTTTTGTGTACAATACTTCCTACATATCAAATCAAAATAATATTCTAGTTGCTATTGAATAATCATGGAATTTTATTTATCAAGGTCAGCACAACAAACATCTGTTTTCTATTTCTACATCACCAAGAGAGTCCACTACATAGAGATGGCAAATTTGCTCATTCTTCTATGCGGACTGAAGAAAATATTACATGCTTTTTGTTGAAAGCATCTCTGTTTAAAATACATTAAAATAAACTGTGGGGTTTAAGACATAAACATGTATCTTTTTTTGCAGCCTGGTCAACAAACTTCACATCACTTGGAAGAGTATGTTGTAGAGGCCAAAAGATTACAAGCACTTACGCAACTGTCCATTTGCACTCAACATCAGGAAGAAATACCCAGAATATTACAAGAAAATTGGAATTTAATTCTCCCTTCTCTAGGTAGGTTTTTTATTTAATCTTTTTTTTTATTAATCAACAGGTTTTGATAAAGTTATATTTGTTTTTGTAATCCAAAAAGGTCTCTTTTTCTTTTTTTTTCTTTTCTTTTTCTTTTCTATCCATTGTTCACTGCACCTGTGATGACATCCAAGGTTGATTGTATTTTCATATACACCCAACTTGCTATGTGCACAGATTTGTCTTCTTGGCCAGGATTGCTTTCAACAAAAAAATGAAAACAATTGTTTTTCTAGATTCTCCGGTATGGAAGTAGCAACAATAAAATTTCTCACTTAACTGTGGGACCCTCCTCCCTTCAGCTTTGAGAAGTGGACTGCTATCTTACTAACTTCCAGCCACAGCAAAGGACCCTTACATTCATTGCCTGTCACTTTAGTCCCTGCTGATTCCTCACTACTGCTATACTCCTTCTCACTGCTTCTATGGATAATGACTGGGGTGGAGACATGAATCCTCAAAACCTGGCAAGTGAGTTGCCTGAAGGATGGACTGGAGATGGAATTCCTATAAAACTCCAATAGCGGAGTGGACTTAAAAGGAAAGAATTTATCTACTTATCTTCTAAAGATGTGTGAGAAATCGTATTGTTACAGAAGCTACATTATGTCAGTGGGAAAATAACTGAAGTAGAGATATCAAGTCAGGACCAATAACATTGCAAATTCTTCTTCGTATTTTATCAAGACTTTCTAAATACATAGCAGAAGCACCAGGCCAGATGTGAGAGCAATATTCAATGTATGGATGAATGGTAGATGTATAAATATGTAATCTAGATTCTAGCAAGAAAAATTGTCTGGTATGGCAAAGTGAACCAACTTTCCTAGTAGCAGCAGACCTAGCAGTCGATTCAATATAATCTTTCCACTTTATGTCATTAGAAGAACATTAGCTTGAGAAGGCACAATAAGTCACTTTCCTGGAGGTTAGCATTAGCCATACAGATGGAAAGCAAGGCAGGTTATCTCAGATGATTAAAAGAGAGCAATTTCGTTTTAAAGGCCTTAAAATTAACAAGCCATTTCTTGCCCCACTTAACAGATTGTAGGTCATTTTTGAAGCCAGCTGCTAATTTCATCTAATCGAACCAATCAGACTTACCAGTAAAACAGAAGTAAATAATTGCCATCAGCATAGATATTGTGTTAAGAACTGATGACATCCAGAAAATTGTTGATGAAAATTGGGAACAATGTAGGTCCAAAGATAGCTCTGTGGGTAGGGATATACCTGCATTAATGTAAGAAGGTCTAGTAGAGTGGACACACAAGGTAACTTTTATTTTGCGATTTGATAAGAAAGATTGAACCAGATCAACAAAATATTGTTTGTGATACAAAACTATATTTTTGAACAGTATAAAAAACAAAACAAAATCATAGACTAATGAATGATATTACTCTGTTGAATTGTGTAAGTTTTATCATAAAAATATTTTGATACTCTCCTTTTTATACACATTGAATTGAAATCAATTCTGCATACTTGCTGAATAAATACATGAAAATGATACATTCACATATGCATTCTCTGAAATTACACTTAATTTATAAGTTGATGTCAGTTCAGTTTTTAAACTGAAAAAAACTAATTTGATTTTGAAAATTTTATTTTACTTATAGTGCTTGAGTTAGTCTACAATTGAAAGTGAATTTTTAAAATGCTTTTTTGATTTAAACTTTTTAGCAGATTTGTTATTTTTAATCAAAATATAAGCACTGAATTACCATTTGTCCAAACACAGTGTGTTTTACATTTATTGCGAACTTATTTCTGTGAAAGTAGAATTTTACTTTTTGGTGAAATTATTTACAAATAGAAATTCAGTAAACCAACAAGTTTTTGTTTTGTAAAATTAAGATAATTTTCAATATTAACTTTTTCTTACATTATCTACTATCAACTTTCTCAATCTTTCAAGGAATTAAAATTTTTTTTCATTAAGAGAATTTTGTAAAACTGAAATAAATGGTAATCTGAAGGTGTAAAATCTGATGAATGAGTGAAAATCATTGTGAAATCCCAAATATGTTTGGGTTTTAAATGACCCACCTAGGGCTGATAAGCTATAAAAACAAATTAAATTCTCCATCCTATCATCTGAAATCAAATGCTCAGGTAGTGTTTTATTGATACTTTCAAGCTGGTACTCATTCAGTTGAATGGAATCAAGACTGATGTTCCTGTTGTTCTACTGAGCTCTGTCTAGTCTTAATGTTCCAGAGAGATGATCTTTGAGAGAATTTATGCCTTGTCAAAAGCTAAAAATGCTCTTAGACTGCATGTTGCCTGATCACCAGCCTCATAGTCGTTGGAGTACCTTGATGGAACAAATCAAACAGGGGTCACAGGGTGAAAGTGTGTCAACTTCGCCTTGGAGATGCCATCCTTGTGAGAGATTATCAGGGCCCTGAGGAGTAAATGCTGGGTGTGATAAAGCACAAACAGAGCTCAGTGATGTACATTTGTGTTAGATCACAAATTTAGTTACGATATATCAATCACGTGTGGAAATAAACCGAAACTCACCTGAAGGATCCACAGAAAACAAGGATGCTGTTCCAACACTCTACTCAAAATACAACTAGCAAATCCAAGAATGCAAGAAACAAATGAAATGCTCAGATTTATTTTGCACCCCCCCCCAAAAAAAAATCAATCATTGTTGATGTGGATACAAACCCAAGTGAAGCCACTTAGTGTCTACCCACAAAAGAAATCCTATGTTGGACCTTTCTGAGAGACGGTATTAGAATGAGATAATTGTCAGTTGACCACCCACCCAACACCTGCAGTTTGAAGTTGATGTAATCGGCAATCAGCTGATCTTGGCATGTGATTGGCTGATTCCTCAGTTACATAAATTCACTTGTGCTTCATATAAACACCACTGTTTTTTTGTTTTACCTCGTAGTTATCCTCTTCTGGTGGAATTCATTTGTTTGTCATTAAAGCATCATTTATATACACATTGGCAGCAAGTAATATAATTTTTGTAAAGACCTACAAGTGCATTTACAGTAGCAAAAGTGTTAGCAAGAAATTTCATTCTTGGTCCAATCTCTCCCTCTCTTTTGTTCTTTCATCACAATTCTTGCCTACATTTTATTGCCTTTTAATTTATATCTACAATTAAATTAAAAAAAAAATTCTTCTACCAAACAAACTTATTTTACTTCTATTGGAATATTATTTGATTAGAGAATTGATAATAAAACCAATTATGAAAAATGTATTATTGATCAACTATGAAAAGGCTCTTTTGTTCTTTGACCTCCTTATTATTCAAACTGTAACTACTTCACTTCCTTGTGTGCATGCATGTACACACACACTTACCTCACCCTACATCGTTAACTGGTTCCAGAGGTCATGACTTAGATCAAAATAACCATGTTATAAACTGCAAATAAGCACACCACACCACATTACATATTACAGTATTTATGATATGTACGTGCAGTATTCTGAATAAAATAATTTATCAGCCATATAGCCTTATGCTTAGCATCAGCAATGAAAGAACGGTCTGGCAATTTTTTCCAATATAATCCGGTTTTGTCAATGTTAAAAAATCTATTTAGGAAGAAACCCGTTTTCTACAATGATCTTAGCCAATGTTTTAGGAAAATCAGCTGCTGCTTGTTTGTCAGCTGATGCACTTTCACCTTGCTTCTTAATAGAGTGATAACTTCTTCATTCTTTAAATCTCATAAACCAGCCTTGACTCCCTTCAAACTATACATCTTTCTCATTTGGGTATTTTTTGTTCAGGTCTTCAAACAGATAACACTTTCGCTTGAATGATTTCTTGACTAATAGCAGCACACTGATGATTAAACCTATTAATCCAAAGAGAGAAAAGTTGTTTCATCTCTTCAAAGATTTTTCCTTTTTTCTTATTAATAACAGTATTCTTCATACCTGGGGCATCAGATTTGATATGTGCTAAAATCTTATCCTTATTGTGAACACTTATCGATACAGTTGTCCAACTCATTCCAAAGATCGAGCAGTCGATATAACCTTTTCACCTTTTTCATGGCATTTTATCATAGTAAGTTTATTGTCCAGTGTTATAGCATGATGCTTAGCACTTGCACTAGGAATTTTCTTAGGAGCCATTGGGGCAAAATATAACGTCACAGATGAATGAAAATGAGAGAGTAAGCGATAAGCAGACATATACTATGTGTATGCCTAAACTAAACTGGATTTCAACTTCACAGGAATCATGAGTAGCGCTGACTATGATACTAAATGAACTATCATGGAAAACGCCAATATTGAGCTCTTAAAAACCACTAAATGACAACACAGAGTCACAGATGTTTTCATATTTTGTTCTCTAGGATTTATGATGATTATATTAACATTTACCATAAATGTACATATTGTGATATGATTTTATGTACTTTTATTTTTATTTATTGTACACTAACATGATTTTATATGCTTTTAATGCTTTTCTAGTCATATTACAACTTCAGTATTTCTGATGGAGTGATGTAAAGTCGAATAAAATGACTTAAACTTGATTTTGATTTTTCCATATATTTTTTTTTTTTGACATACTACATATAATCGAGAACAATGTAACCAGAGATATACCTTATATATATATATATATATATATATATATATACACACACACAAAATAAATCGGAAAGCAGTCATTTTTTAAATTATACATTAAAAACAGGGAAACTTGTAAGGCATGATACTGTGTGTGTGTGTGTGCATGGGATAATTGGTAGCAAACTGTGTAACATTCCATCATTCAGTTTAGTGGCAGGAAGCAATGAGGTCAGGTGTATGGACACTCTACTCAGCAATTGCACCATCGAGGAACAATGCATCAGTGCACTTTCGTCAAGTAAAGAGTCAAATTTGTAAATCCATTGCAAGATGTTGGCGCAGTATGGAGCATGCACTCTTAATCAACAAAAGGTGTATGAGGGCATAGAATGTTTTAAAGCAGGAAGAACAAGTGTAATGGATGAAAGCCAATCAGGCCACTCATCAACATCACCCACTAAAGACGACATCCAGAGGATGGATGCCTTGATCTGAGGTCAACACAAGATTGCATTCAAACATGAAACGGACTATCATTGCTTGGTGTAGACCACACACACACACACACACACACACACATATATATATATATATATATATATATATATATATATATATATATATATACATACACACACACAAATGGAAAATTACAAGCATTAATGTAATAAAAACTAGTACAAGCTATTTAGTTTTACTGTATCTTTTTCTTAATAATTTTATATCTAAACTGGTTTTTGTAATCTGCTGTTAGTTTGCCACCCCCCATATATTGGGACCCTTTTGCTTAAAGTCTATATTTACTCGATTTTAGATGAAAACTTGGAAATTTTTATTTTTCAAAATTCTATTTCTAATTTAGATTTATTGCAAATAGGTGGAATCTATAGGAGTCAAGAAATTTTGGTTTTCAACCATTACATTATTTTTTTTAATAGCTTCAAAAATGCTGTTGTCTTTTACCTAAGGAAATTTTCATGGAGAAATTGTTTTACAAAATATTTAATGCTACAGATTTTGTTACTTTTTTTTTTTTTTTTTTTGTGTAGCTTTGAGAAGTTTCCAAAATAGTGATACAAGTTCATTATGATTATAATAGTCACAATTTTCCTTTTTTTTTTTTTTTTTTTATATTAATTTTGCTTCTGAAATGCTTGGAAATTGCATGAGATTATAAAATGGTAAATCCAAAATTGATAACTAAAATTGATAAACTGAAAGTTTCAGCTTTTGAATTGTTTGGAAGATTCTATAAAATCAGATAAAATAGTTTTCTTTAATGTGAATATAATTTCTTGTTTCTTGCAGAAACCAGTAGACGCACTTCTTCATCATCATCTATTCCACCAAGACCTGAATTTTTAGCTAAGTGAGTTTAACTTGTAAACATTTTTATTACACTTTTGTGACCTGAAAGATATTTTTATATTTAATTCCTTGTTGTATTGACAAATATATTCTCTCTTACACTAAGTAGAATGAGGTAAGTTTTTATTGCATATAAAATATCTAAAACTCTATAATACTCTACTCTTCCCTAGATAAATAAATTCTTATAAATCTAAACTTTTTAGCTTTTAACTTTTTCTTTTTGTTTACTTACCTTTTATGATCTCTCTCATTTTCACTGAATAAACAAACTAGATTAAATTGCCTTAGAAAATTCCATGTCCAGTATAAAATTTAAAAAAAAAAAAAGGCTTTCTTTTGAAGTCATTAATGCTTTCTTTAAATAGGGTGGGCTAATTAAATGTGTTCCATCTTTATTTTGATAACAATTTCTTTTCAGTTTTGTTAATTCAAAGAAAGCAGGCAAACTTTCTCAGAAAAATGTTAATCTTTCTTATTATCTAATCATCTGTTCAACTAATGGAATCAATTGATATGATATAGAGTTGCTTCCTCTTAAGTGCTTGCAGAATAAAACACATGATTTTATATTTCTAATTTTGTCTTATTAAAAAAAATAAATGAATAAAGAACAAAAAGGTTACTTTTAATAGTATAAAATAAATAACCTAAAACTGTTTTATATGTTGATTTGAACTTATGCCTGCTAACAAAGTTCTAAGAAAGAAAAATAGGTAAAGTTAACATTCAGTCTGGACACTTGTGAAGAAAATTGCATAGCAACTAGTAGTCTAATTCATATACCATGAATAAAGCAATTTCCAGTCACTCATTTCTTTACTATCTGTGAATTACCATGCCTTCTTCAGCAAGATGATGTAATGGTTTCCCATAGTCTTCTCTACTGTTTAGCTTTTGCTATGTTTAATTGTCTTAGAGTGATCACCCATTGTTTTTTCTCCGCTGTTTAGAATTTAGAGTAGTCCTATACTGCTCATTCAATATTGCTATTTAATAGCTGGTGGCAAGAGATGCATTTATGCCTTTCCCAAGTGTGCTTGTCTGCAAAAAGACCACACAAAATTAACATAATTTAAAGGACACAGATGTTTTGATTTAGATTAAAATAACTTTTAGTTTGGAGAAAAATTATTTAAATGAAAACATAAATGAAACATTTAAAGAAAAAACAAATAAAACTATTTCATGATATGAAACTGACTAGCCACAAAACCCTCTCATTATGTAATATTGCACATTTTAAGCAAAAATTATTAATAAATTTAAGTATTTGAAATTAATTTTAGTCATTGTTTGCTTCCATAAATGGAAATGATTGTCCTAATGATATTTGACATGAGCTGCCAATTCTAAATCTCGACATTATATTTCTGAAAGAGTTCCCTCCCTTGTCAAGTTAGAATCATGTTCTCGTCAATATTCTGTACAAATTCTTAGAATTTGTTTTAAATTGCTTCATTTATTTTCTGAATTCAGGAAGCAATGGATATTTGTTTTGTTTTTTAAATTAATGTAGGATTGTTCTTATGGGAAAATATTTTATGCAAGATTTAAAAAAAAAAAATGAAATCGAATTCTCTTCTTAAATAGAATTTATTTATATACTCAATAATCATGTAACACATTAAATTCAATAAATGTATAAAAAGTTTACATTCACTGCGATTTCATATCAGCAAATACTAACTGGATGGAAAATTGAAACCGTAATTATGATTGTATCTTAGTATCAACTACATTTGAATTTAATATGGGGGGGGTGATGAAAAGGTTTTGACTCCATCCACTTCCCAGAATCTGTACATTCAAAGTGTTTGTAATTAAAATACTTATTTTGAAAAGTGAATTGGATGAGGAACTTTTTTCAGCATCTTTTTGTATATATTGACTTTTTTTGTCTTCAAGGAGTATGTGATTATGTCAAAAATTATTTTGTCTGAATTTCTTGAATGAGAAATTGGACTAATGTTCACATTTTTGTTATTATCACAGTCAAATCCTTTGGGGCTCTAGTGGTCTTCAGGTGTCTCTGCATCCAGGAAATTTTCAGATTGTTGTTGTTTTGCTGTCTATGTCTAGAGATGTCTTGTCCATTAGTTTAGACTGAGTTTGTGTCTGTACTATCCAGTACAGTGATGGAACTCACTTTTTTTTTATCACAGGACTAACAATAACTGAGCAATACAAACAAGAATGTTGAGGAAATATGGACAGTGGGATAAATTTAATCTACTCTGTAGATTAAATAAAGTGTTCAGTTTGAAATTCACTGAAGGTTACCAGGATCAACATGTACCTGGGGTGGTTGTGGGGTTAATAACAACCATGATGCAAACATTTGTCTGAATGCAAATAATATACATATTTAACATATATTCTATTCTTCTAATTTGTCATAATTTCTTTCAGTTTATCCAATGGGGAGGTTCCTCCACCACTGCCAATCCGTTCTACCACAGGATTAATAGACATTTCCCCTTCATCTTCTGAGGCTTTTGTACCTGACTTTCGTTCCTTACGCATTCACCCATCCCATAGTCAGCCAGCTCTTCAACGTCGACCCATTGACAAATCGAACCAGAGTGTACCTGAATTCAGTTCGCCAACCAAGCGTCCTGGATATCTGCCTCCAAATCAAACAAGGCAGAGGTTAGCTTCACAGTCTGAGAGTTTACCGAGTCCTCTTGAAAGTGACAGGTTTTCTTGTGTCTTTGAATCTGAAGTAGACAGCAATCTCCAATATTTGACAGCTTGCCAGGCATCTGAAGTCTCTACAGACTCGGATCAGATGGACAATGGTTCTAAGCTCCGCAACAGACTAAAATCACGCAGTTGTGAAGACTTGAACACTTATCTCAAAATGTCTCGACTGGATGCCCCAACTGAACTCACTTCTCCCCCAGCGGAGTCTGAAAAGGAAAATAAGGAAAATCCTACCGAGATCGCCCCTGTTCCATTCCCACGTTTGCAGAATCTGCGGAATAGTCTGTACTGTGACAGCAGTAATTTGAGCAGTTATCGCATGAGTACTGTGTACTATGGAAACGTTGCCAAAAAGTCAAATGGTGTATATGAGATACCAACACCGGGTGTGTCTGAATTAAAAAAGATTTTTGACAATGGTGAAAGCAAGAAAATGCGTAAATCTGTTTCTAACCCAAATTTCTTCAACATTTCCAGCAAGGACAACTCTATGGGTCAGATGGTCTTTTCACCCGAACCAAATAACCTGAATTCCAATAACAAACAGAAATTCACCTATAGATCTTGGAGAAATCTTTTCTCTGACCGGAGAAGAAAGTCCAACCATGAGACACACAATGGTGCTAACCATTCTTCCACAGGTGCTAACCATTCATCCACAGGTGAAGACACATCGCCCCTGACAGAACGGCCAATAAGTAAAAGTCGATCTAGTAGTTTTAGCCGCAAGCCATCTCAAGGTCATCAGGCATCTAGCACACAGATCACTGATACTTATGGCACAGCAGGTATGAAGGGTGTGCGAATGACTCCCAAGACCAGATCTTATCGACGCCTGAAAAGTGAGAGCAGTGTTGCAGCAAAATCTCAAATTAAAGAAGACAAACCTCCAATTGCATCTGTAGAATCACTCTGTTAATATTCTTTCTTTCCTTCATATTTTTATTGCCATTTTTAATTTGGTGCTTTAGGAACATTGGAAATGGTGGGGGGGGGATTCTATGCAATGTCTTCCAAAAATTTTTTTTATTACCTCCTGACATGACTTCATTGATAATTTGGTTGTGGAAAGTAAATGTTAAAAAAAAATCACAAATTTTTAATTTGTTCAAACCATAATACCATTTTACCAGTAAAACCTTCCAACATTTGAATCACCAAAATGAATGGCATGTGCAAGTAGAATAATGCTGTTCATATGAGCAAATTCATGTTAATTTCTTTTGTTACACGGCTATCCTGAAATAGTAGAATTTACTCAAAAATGTCCAGGTAACTTGTGTATCAGTAAATGGTCAGGTCTCTGGATTCAACTGGTTAATAGAAAAAAGCTACTTGAATCATAATCCAAATATGATTCAACTATCTTAACATTTCAGGATTAAACGATTCTCTTTTATAAATTGATTTTTTTTTTTATTATGGTTTCGGAAAAAGTTTGATTTTTACGCATTTTGTTATAGAAATTTCTGAGATTTTTATTGGCATTTACAAATTTTACTTTGTACAATAACAATGACATACCTAAGGAGAATGAAACACTCACAACACCAAGTAATAATCGACTAAACATTCTAAGCCAGACACTCAAATATTTACTAAGCCTAGCTTAGTATTATGGACACTAGTTGAAGATCAAACTCATTATGCTAGTGAATTTTGCTAATGGTAGGCACCCCTGTGAGACTTACTATATTTTCTACAATGAAAAAAAAAATTAAAAAATATATATATATATATATATATATATATATATATAAATTCATCTTTATTTTATATTAAGAACAGAATGTGGAATTGGAAACTTCATTTTGATGTGCCTAACCAGTGTTAATATTTGGTTTCCAGAGTTTTTTTTTAATATGCAGAAACATTCTTAACAATGAAGTGATTAAGTGGCCTTGAAACATTTTCAGTAATACAAAGGTTTTTTTTCTTTCCAACACAAAAAAAAAACAGCCATCCATCATTTTGTAAATGGAATAAATATTATTTTATGTTATTGTGTATGTGGAGACACACACAGACATATGCATACACATAGGTGCTGAATATGACAAATTTTATTTGTATTAATCCATATACATGTGTGTGTGTATATATATATATATATATATATATATATATATATATATATATATATATATATACACACACACACACACACACACATTTTGTTTTAAAACAGTTTTCATTTTCTTAGACACTTTGAATTTGTGCACATGTAAAAAAAAAAATTTTTTTTTTTTTTTTTTTTAAACAAATTTTTTTTAGATATGTTATGTAAACAAATAGACATTCTTATCAGGTATATATGCACAAACACACAAGAAACAAAGATCTTTCATGAAAAAATTTTTTTTTTTTTTTTAAAAGTATTGTCCCTTTTGGCTGAATTTTTTACAGCCACTTTTCAAGTGACCAAATAAAACTGACTTCTTTTCTGTTTGCTAAGTGCTGGTCATTACAGTCTATGGAAGAGAAATAGTCAGGGAATAGGGTCAAGACTCATCTCACCTTCAATTCTATTGTACAGATTTTCTTACCTTTGCCCCCAAACACACAGATGAAGACTTGATTTCTCCTTTCCTTCTTTTATGTTGTAAACTGTCTTTCAAAGAATTATCCTCACGCAAATGACTTTTCTTTTTTTATATAGTTTATTTGTAATTATTACTTTGTTTTGATGACTTTTTTTTTTTGGTTCGAAATAAAGAATGAAATAAAAAATACCTCATGAGTATTCCACTGATTTCTGATTCACTATCTCTTTTAGGTCATAGTTTACAGAGGCCACAAGTATTAATTTACAATTTGTAAGTAATAGGTGATTGCACTCCAGTTACCACCCCTCTCTCCCATTGTATTATGTACCATGTATTTGGTAACTTTGTACAAACCTCTTCCCCTATTTAGATTCTGGCTTGCTCCTCCTCATTGGTATTCAGGTATATATCTCTCAGGTGCCTCCACTTGTAGGTAAAAATTGAACTTGTGATACTGTCTCCTTTTTCTGTCTGACCATAGGTGCCATGTTGTACCAAAATATCGCTTCAACAGGTAATATCCACCACCCTGGCTATTGCCTTCACAGTCTGATGGTGTTGCTCAACTATTCCATTTCTCCCTGGCCTGTACACTGCTCTGCATCACTTGGTAGAGTTTCGAGTGGAAAACTGTGCCATTGTCCATTACCACCTCCACTACTGAACCTCATTCAAGAATCACCTTTTTCCAGTCCAACAGCTACATTTTCCACACGCAATTCCTTTCATATTGCCAGTTGACCAGCTTCACAGCCAATCATTGACAAGTACACCCTCCACCACCACCACCACAATAGTGTGCTATATCCCCAGCTAACCTCGGCCAATTGTTTGTCATTCCAATCTCACCAGGATCATGCATATTCAGGACAGGGTCAATCAATCGATATCTGATGCAGTTCCTGACCATGCTCTGGACTTCCTTCCTCTTTATGAGCAGGTCGATTTTTATACACCAAATCTAGAGTCCTGTCTGCTTCCCATATTATGCACACTGTGCAACTTTTCTAGTTCTCCCATCCCTAGACATCATAATGGGGCCTCTTCCTCCTCTTTGACAACCAACCACTTTTTGTTTATTATTCTGGTGGCTTTTCTGTTAATCCAAATTCCTTAAGATGATCCACCACTTCCTTTGTCGATACCTTTGTTACATCTATCATGATGTCATCAAGGTACAAATTGATGACTTCTTTTGTCTTATTGCCCTTCATCAGCACAGTTTTTAGGACCACTGCAATAATCTTCAGTGCAGCATTGAGTCCACAATGAGTTTTCCCTTTATAGCACTCCAGCTCATACTGCCATAGTGTCTCCATGATGTGTAACTGCAGGTTGGCCAACTGCCTCCATTTTCTTATCTTTTCATCATGCACACCAGTTATGTTGCACTCAGTATGGTTCAACTCCCAAAAGTCTAGTACTGGCCTGACTTTTACTTTTGTAGTCCTTGTCCTTGCAATAGTTCAAGACTTGGGAAGCTGCAACACAGTGTACCTCTCCAAATTTTACCTTGCTATTTTTTTACAGTCATGGGCTTATTGATCATGTCTATTCTGACAAAAAATGTTGATCATGTCAGTGATGCAATCAACGATAACTGCCTCCATTTTTATCCTCGCCCCACCTACTTTTATCTCCACCTGCCAGGTTCCTTTACATTTTACCTCCCTTCTGTCAACTGCTTTCACAGTGTCACTCCTACTCCATTGATTCAAAAGCTTGGGATTAAGTATGGTGGTTGTGCAATTGGTATCAAGAACTTCTGTTATCACCCTGCCCACTAACACTTCTATGATTGGTAGAAGTTGGTACTGCATCTTTGTTCTGTTGACAGGGTAGCTACTGGCACAGAAGCTCCCCTCTTGCTTGTTTTCCTGAGTCTGGCAGCAATACCTTGAAATATGCCCCAATCTTTTGATCTCGGTGGCTCCTTAGTCTCTAATTATGTGCTATAGATGTTGGGAATTACAACTAACACTTGATGATTCCATATGACCTTTGTTTTCTTTTGGTCCTGCATTTTATGCAATTGCTGCCACTGTTCCAGACTCCATATAGCTTGTGGTTTGAAAGCTTAAAATAAAAATAGGCCAAGAGTGGGTGTGTCACTTCAAATTAAGTGGGGCTTGGTAGTTCGAATCTCCTCTACTTCTCCCAGAATCTCTCTCATCCTTCTTTAGTCTCAAATCTCCTTCTTCCTTCGTGTCTCTTACGACTTTTCTCGTACATACTCCCCCACCCGACTAGAATGTTGCTTTGTCAAGTTTGCTATTTTCAGTCGAGTTTTACAGTTTCTTTCTTCCTTCCATAATTCGTTCCCCCACCCCACTGGTTTGCCATAATGTCTCTCTATAAAAGAAATCACCTGTTGCGATTTATTCTATACCTCCACCATAATGTAAGCGACATTCCATTTTTTCTTCTGCCTTTCATTCAAACTACATTTTATTGAAGTTTGTTATTAACACTTGTCCTACTTGTGCTAAATGAGTGTATTTGCAACTCTTGCTGTTTCAGATATGAAGATTTTTTTTTTTTATGTACCAATATACATTAAATTCTTAATTTATTGAAAAAAAAAAAAAAAGATTATGACTATGACATGGACCAAGAAAAACCAAATGAGTTTGGTGAATATGACAAAGACAAGGCACCAGTGTTAGATTATAAAAAGGATAGCAATCTGGTAGAACATAAAAATCAGTTACATAAAAGGTACAAAAATTTGTCATTAACACTTTCTTGATGACTTCTTGGCAATAACTTATTCTTTCATCATTGATGTCATCAGGAAAATTGTTGTGGTCAGCATGAACATAAATGCCATCTTTTGAGATAGATTTATTTAATAATCTCTTAACTTGGACTTTTGCTTTAATTTTGGCTCGTTTTTTTTTTTGGGGGGGGGTTACTTCATTTCCCTAGTTATAAGGTGGCAAGGCCCGCTCTTTTTTGAGGGGGGGGGTTAAGTTTGGTCCTGACTTGGGATCTCAACTCCAGTCACTTTCTCACAAATGTAATGTGGCTTCCCTGTCTTTTCTACAAATATTTTCATGCCATCTTCTCTGACATGCTATTAGGTTGGCATCTCAGTCCCACCCTTTTACTGTCATAATCTTCAAAAATTTAAATGTAATGTCAATTGACATTTTCTGATACCTTGATCCCCATTTTTCTTTTCTTTTTTTTTTTTTTTTTATCCATTCTTCAATCCCCCACCTATACTCAGTCTTTTCCCTTACTTTCACTCTCTGTAGAACCCCCCCTTGTGTACTAGTAGCAATCCTGCCTTGCTTGGTGTGAAATGCTTATATATATATATATATATATATATATATATATATATATATATATATATATATATATAAAAAGTATAAAAGTAAATTTTGTTCATTTTTCACAAGTTGTTAAACATTATTTATCATCATGCAAGAATATCATTTACATATTGCCCAATTTCCACAGCTATTTCTGTAAGCATCAGGGTGTGCTTTTGATCCAGTCTTTCTTTGTGTAATAATAGGACAAGGATGATGCTGCTAAGTGTCAGAAACTAGTAGATTCCTCCACAACTAATCCTGACTCATGCTATGAGTGGAATCAAGAAGCTGATTTAAACAGCACCAGCAATATAATTTAATTTTGATTTAACTCTAAATAAAAAAAAAAATAACTTATGTGGTTTTTGTGTGTATGAATTGGAATATAGAATTTGATATAAACAAATTTGGAGTTCTAAACACAATATATTTTAGGCAAATTTTCAAAGTAGAGACCAAAAGGGAAAGAGACCCCCCCTCCCCCACCTCTATTTTACAATCAGTCTAGTTCTCTCAAAATCCAGTGTTTTCATATTTAACAACTACTTTTCATTTAAGCCAGTTCATTAAATGAAATTCTGAACAATGTGTTAGGAAATCATTTGACCCTGTATTAACTTCCATTCTGGGGTGAGGGTGGTATTGTAGCTGTAAGGTTTGAACATATGCATCTCTTTTCAAGTATCTGGATATCATTGTCTGAAAAATGCTGGTAATTGTCTCTGGAAGAAGACTGACTGATATTTTGGGGTATTCGGTCTCATCTTTACAATTTGCCCAACATAGAAGGCTGCTTGTTGAATGGTGAGTTCATATATGGTTGAGGTTCACAGCAGAGTTATTTATATCTGCATGTTGTTCTGCACAGTAGTAGACTAGTGCACTACCCGGAAAAGTTGATTACCAAAGCCCTAATTAGTCAGATCAACTGGAATAGCCACACACACACACACACACACACACACACACGACCTAGCATTGCTTTTGAGATATGAATTTAAGTATATCTGAAAACAAAGCAACTGTTAGTGATTTTAGTATCTGTCTATATTTCTGAGATGAGATATTATGTACACTATTTACATTATTCAGACTATTGTCTTCATCTTTGTTGCCATATTTAGTACAACGTTTTGGCCGTTGTATGCTCTGGCCTTCAGTTGGTTGGAATGTCAAATTGACCCCTTCATTTCACTCACTGGGGTAGACTGTTCTAGTTCCACGTGCCATGTCTAATGGATGTCAGTTATCTCCTGTTAATTCCCTTCTCCAAGTTCTCCACTGCCTTAACTGGATATTGAACTCGCACTCTTTGGGTCCTGTCACTGGATCTAACTAACACCTTTATCCACTGTGCCATGTGTCCATGTTCAGTTCGACATTCCAACCATCTGAAGAAGGCTGGAGCATACAACAGCCGAAACATTGTAATAAATATGGCGACAAAGATGAGGACAATAGTTCGAATAATGTAAATAGTGTTAGTGATTTATTCAAATTGAATAAATTAATTTATTCTTCCTTAAATTCCACTCAATTACATCATATTTACTTGGTTGTTTTTTTTTTTTTAATGGAAGCTCTCAAGGGGCTTTTATATTTTTGAAGGATGAGAAACATTAATATTCTATTTACTGGCAACATTACATTGTCACTAGTAATTTGTTTTTGTAAATCGATTGTAATGATAAATGTGTAGCAGTTAATAAATTTGGAGTCCACTAACATACCTTCGTTTTTGCAAGGCAGTAGCAGCTTAGAGAGTGGATTAAAAGAAAATGTTTTTCTCCTCCCCGACAACGCAGTAAGAATAACATGGAAATTGTGACCCACATTATCATTCATCTAACCTTGCACCAACCAATTACTACCTTTTTAGATTGCTGCAAAATGCTTTTTAATTTCTTATGAAAAGAGTTTATCAAAACCATTTTCACTCAAAAGGTATTGAAAACCTGACAAAAATTCATTACAAATAATGGTGGATATATAACTGAATAAAATGTAATTTGTATTTTAAATAAAAGTTATTTGCGAAATAGAAAAATTCACTGAGTTGCCAAATCCACCTTATCTATTGAGACAATAGCATTACCATATTTGGACAGATAAAAAAAAGAATTCAAATTACACCAATCTAATCTTACAGTGGGAATGACCAAGCAATAGTTCAACAATATACCCTTACAGGATAATGCCTAAGCTGGTAATTATGTCAAACTGACAAAGACAATATAGCCTTTCAAACTATTCAAATTAATTAGCTAAAATAAAAACTTGTTTTGTCACATGAAATTTATATTATAAATATTTACATATAATATTTTAGTATAAAATATGTTGAATGTTTTCTACAGTGTGTTCTGATATTTCATGTGGGGAATTTAATACTTAATTTTATGAAGTGGGAGGGATTAATAAGTTTGTTGTCAAAGTAGTTATTAGCTGAAGACTGCTATGAAACTTTCATTGTATTATGTTTAATTGATGTAATTAATATTAAGTGAATTTATAAAGGAGGTGATGTTGAAAAATACTTATGTAAAATAAAGATCTTTTAAATTGTTAGGCAATGGATTTTATTTATATATTATCTAGCAATTTCAACACATCTTGAAAATTTCTTTTATTGTGAAACTTTGGCTTAGAGTTGTCTCTTGATTCTTTTAATATCCACAAAGACAAAACTGCTAAAAAGAATCAACATACCATGATGAAAACATGCTCTGAACGTAATATAAACATGTTGGCGATAAATTCAAAAAAAAAAAAAATTTCCAATCAATTTAAATTC